ACGCCGACGCACGACGGCACGGGACACACCGAACCGATTCACCGACCTCGCCCGACTGTCGATAATTGGGTTGGTGTGCAGCGGCCTTTAAGGTTTCCTTAAGATGCATGTTGCAAAGCCCATACACAGAATAGATCTGAGAGAATGTGGGGACATTTCTTGGCACAGTACCAAATTACCCAACATCTATAGGGACCCTGACTTGCCTGGATACATGAGTGGGTGGAGACTCGATTCACTTGTCAATGTTACCAATATAGTTTGTCATTGTAAAACTAAAAACTGTAAATAAAGTATAAGAGAAGATGCATGTTGCAGGGTTTGTGCATTTTTTACCTGGTTACATTTAAGACTTATGAATGCAATTTAAGTCCTACATACTGGTAAAAAAAAAAAAAAAGTACAAAGGATTTTTTTTTGTATTTGTTTCCTGTTGGTTTTGTGTTGTAGCTGTTGCAGCATGAGCAATACATTTTTTTTCCCCCAAAACACATTTAAATTTTATCTTTATACAAGTACCTCGATCCTTACATTTTAGGTCTTAAAATTCAGATTATTGGATTTGAGACACCCTGATTTTCAGAGCATCTTTCAGGAAGAAAAACAATTAAAACATAGGAGAACAGTGCTGAGATTCTAAATTATGTACTTGGGAAAATCTGGCTGAGAAAGTCCACTTCCTCCTGGAAGTTTCGATGAGGAAACTCTTGATGGGTTGGTTTCATAAAGTTCTTGCGGGAGTAGAAGAAATTCTACAAAAAAACAAAAACAAAAGTGCCATTCAAACATTTGATAAGACGAACGGCTGCAGGCATCAGGCATGTCAGCGCCTGACACGTGCATAGAGAGTGGTATGCTTTTTACATATACTCAAATCACAGGGCGTGTCCTACCTCGATGGCATCGAAACCGCAGTACTCCCTGGCGAGTTCCAGCAGAGGCACCAGTGCTTGCAGTAAGAGGGTGGTTCCGCACGTCTTCAAAATGAAACGTCTCTTGGAGACAAACATGCTACTCTCACTGTGGAGGGAGAGAAGCACGAGGAGTGTAAAACAGTTGTACTGGAATTATATTTACGTGCCACTGTACAATTTATTGTACAAGTGATTATAAACTAGTGGTTCTCTTTCCACTCATTTACCACTCAGATAAACAGCTTTTATCACTGTAGGTCCCCTGATTTACACAACAGGTCTAATCTAATACAGGGACAAAATGTGTTCTTTTATTTCATAATTTTCATATACTATTTCATAGTTTCCACTTATGCACTCATTGATCTCCTGAGACATGCATTAACTGGGAATGCATAGGTGTATTTGTTGTCAAGCAGGAGGAGCTAAACTGAAATTCTCAGTAAATTAGTTTGAACTTGCCATGCAGAGGCGTTTATCGCATGTGAGAAGAAACTAGGGAAATCTAACCCATCTGATGCTAAAGTTGATTTAAAGAAATGATCAAATCATCAAGCATTTGTTAAAAAGGTCCAGTGTGTGGGACTTGGCATCTTGAGGTGTAGTTGCAGATCGCAACCCCCTTGCTTCACCCACTGTTCCAAGCATGTACGAGAAACTGGCTGCGAAACTATCTACAGCCAGTGTTTGGTTTGTCTGTTCTGGGCTACTGTAGAAACATGGCAGTTCAATATGAAGAATATAGAAGAGGACCCACTCCCTCTGTAGATAAAACAGCTCATTCTAAAGTAAGACACACATTTCTTATATTCAGGTGATTATACACTAATGGAAACATATTTATGAATATTATATTCCATTTCCGACATTAGATCCTCCTCAATGTTACACACTGGACTTTCAATACTACTGCACCCTGGTTATTTGTCATTAGTAGTATACTGCTTCGAGTATGTATTAGATTCTTGGACAGGGGAAGGAAGTAGAAAAACAAAAACAAATCTATCACATAACCATATTTGTTTTGACTATGATACAAAAAGTGAAACCACTTCCTGGCTGCCATGACAGAATTTGTTTTACTGGCCAAGACTAAAAATAGTGTAGCTTAGTGGTTTCATCTGATAACTGGTCTCTAGTTGACTGTGGTTGTATAATAAGCCCATCAACTCTATATGTGCCCACGGCTGTGTCATTGACTGGGACTGAGACTGTGCTGTCAATGGCAAACTGCTTACAGGTGACCGCTGTCTAATCCTGCCTGCCTTCTAATCAGTAGGAAGCACTGAAAGTAAAAGAGGGCACTCACCTGAGTATATAAGCTTCCTGCTTGTCAGACTTTGTCACACTTATGATCAAACAATGCACATTCTCCAAAAGTTTGTCCCACTCAAACCTAAAGAAAAAAAAAAAATAAAAAACAACATTTAGCATTCATTTATCATATTTTATTGACAAATTCCAATTTTGGAAGTGAATCACAGTAAGACTTCACTGGTTAAAAACGTTCACACACGGGACTTGATTTGAACATGTCTTTTAACAAGAAGGCACACACGCACAGAGCAATGCCCTGCAGGCAAAGCCATAACAGGGAGGGAGGGATTACGTTTCTGGAAATGATGGCACTTAGGGGAATATCAGGAAACAAATAAGCAATCATCTCAAATGACCTTTCCATAGTGAGTCTACTGAAACCTAGAAATATATGCATGTGTATGACCTGGGGAGAGTGGGGGTACAATAAAAGAAGACATGATTCAGACTGAGAGGAATAAGGTGCTTGCTGTGTGCAGGATTTGTGTTGTACGTACACTGGCCCCAGTTCATCGTTCCTAGGCAAACTGAAAAATCACAGGCTGGGGCAGGCGACACAGCTAGTTCTCCCTCGACGTCAAGAAGGCTGATTCTGCCGCTGCCACCTCCCCCTCTCAAAGACAGCTGCAGTGCAAATGCAGCTGCGTCACGTTCTGCTCCCATTACAACCTTGGAAGGGCAGCCTGGACCCATTCAGAGCGTCCAGTAGGAAGCGCAGCACAGCCTGGGCCGGTAGAGAAAGACCGCGAGGAGGGCAGCGCTCAATGGGGAATTTACCAGCAGCCAATACTGCACAGTTCACCCCCCTGAGTGATGGACACGGCTGCATGAATCGACAGCCTTTTTCTGGGGGGAGGGGGAACCTCAGAATGAGAAATGTGCCTCAGTGACTAGACTGAGCACAGCTTCTCTAACCGGCAGTGACAGCTCCCGTCAGAAAGCAGGTGTGAACGTCATTTCGCTGACTAGTTAAATTCAAGCATTTCAGCCACCTGTTGTATGAGCTTTAAATGTGCATATAAACCAACAGAGGTAATGACAGAACTCAGGGTCAGTATAATCAAATATCACACATATCCTGAGTCTTGTCACTCACATTTATTCCACAGGAATATCGTTACTCTACCCTTATTGTACACCTGCTTCATCCGCATAGCAACCCAACAAAAATGCTGCATGTAGTTCAGGAAACAATTCATTAAAAGCAGCACAAATGCAATCATAAAAATTGGGAAGCGACGTTTTACTGGCGTTTCTGACAAACCTTGAGCATACATGAAACAACCAACCACAGAAAAACACTCACTTAAAGCTTGCCTTTAAGTAAGATGGAACCACAACAACTCCCGACAACACATCATCATTCTCCTGAGCTGCTGTGTGACATGTAATCAGAAACTGTTAGTCAGGAGTATGGACTAGCTTCTTCTTAGTGTGTGCATACAGTCAAAATGAACAAACCAACCAACCTTTAAACACCTCACACAGATGATTAGGAGAAAACAATGCATCAGTGCTACAAAATGCCTTCGACATGAAGTAACCTGCACACTGCACACCAGTAGCTGCACTGTCTGTGGCGAGTGCCCAAATTAGATTTGCCCCTCACAAAGAATGACATAATGCAATAATCACATCATGATGCAGGCTAAAAGCCAACAAGCTAGCTTTAGAACCATCTTACTTCTTGAGCACGGCCACCATATTGAGATCTAGAAAAGTGAGTTGGGGTCTCTACATGCAAAACAGGAGTGTTGCATGTAGTTTACAGCCTGTATGTTGTGCTGCCATTAGAATCATTTGCAGTATGTTTCCTTATTGTGCCGATGTTTAACACATTGCCATTAAGACTACATTACAGGCTAAGAACATGGGGGTATTATCTGATCATAAACAGACTTTGGGCACCTTCTGCTTCGGTTTGTGACAACAGTGAACCATGCAGCTCCTTTTATCTTACGATTAAAAACAAATCTGTGCCAGACTGAAGAATGACAGACCCGACAGATGTGTTTACATGGTACAAGTTTACCAGTAAGAAGATGAACAATCCAAAAACATAGTACAATGTATTCTACATACATTCTCCTGCCCTTATGTACATGAATAAGCCACAGGTATGACACGTCCAGTTTTAATGATTCACTTTTTAAATTCCACACAACATGAATTACATCAGAGCTGTTGCAACATGCCGGCTTCCCAGCTTCATAGCAGAGGGACAACGTTACTCGAGATGTGGGTCTGCTCTCGTTTCAGTGTGAAATGTACACCGGAGGCCATTTGTGGTCGCTCAGCAGGATCAGATCTTCCTCAAAGAAAGAGTGGTCTCCAGAAACCAGATTAGACTGCCAAACACTACCAGAGTGTTAATCCAAACCCAAGAGACAGGCACGCATGATAAATGTAAAAGATTGGAGGAAGAGACAGGCAAAGTAACAAAAATCACAAGATGTCATAACTAACATTTAGCCGCAGCACCATGAGGACGGTGAATGCCACATGTTGGAGTGTGCAGACAGATTTAACAGTAACTGGCCCTCAGGACGAGCTGCTTGACAATCACTAGAAGCAGACTGAGCTGCCATCGAGCCCTGAGGAAGGACGGTGGAGGTAATGTGAGCGAGCGCCACCTTTGTGAATCAGATGCCCTTGTGGACTTATTTGGACATTGGCTGACGTCCAGAGAGACTGATCCACTGACAGTGTCCCTCTGAGCCGTTAATCTGCCCTCTGGCTGTAAATGAATGCCAGTCCTCACTCACCCGGACTGGCTGCACACTTTTCTTAAAAACACAGACCTCTGATCTGTTTAATGACCAGTAAAAGTCACTCATGGTGAAAGCGGATTTAGCGTTGAACCTTGCAATGGGGCCACTCACTGAGTACAGTACAGGAAAAACAGGTAGAAGTGTCACGCAGTTTCAAAGGATAAACCCTGAACAATTTGGACTGACAGGACGTGCTGAGGGGGAATGATTTCTAACCAGTTGTTGTTAATCATTCTGTGGACACACCTCCAGTTGCTCTACTCCCACACTGAACAAACACCAGTCATCTCCAAAACTACCTCAGTGGACATTTTCTGCACCAAACAGAACAACATGGCTCATCTAAAACATTTTAATCTATCCATTTATGACCCCGTTCTACTTGGCACAGGCTCTTTGGTGCTTGAGGCACAGTAACAAATGTGTTTTGTGGTGATTAACAAGGTTAAAGGTCAAGCCTTTTTCATTTCTCACATCCATTTCTCTTAATGTGCCATCACCCAGAGACCATTTTCTTTGAGTGCAGCCAAACGCCTCCAAGCACATCGCAGTAGGAAGACCCTCCAACCAATCAGAGCAACTGGGAGGAGAGTGTCTGCATGGCTGTAAAACGTGACCGGAACAAGGACTACAAGCAATTTTAGTTAAACATACGGCGGATCTTGGGGCTGCCATGCTGGGAGTGGAGTCCCTAAGCATAAAAAAAAAGGGAGCACCACCCTATCAGTCACCGGATCTCATCCAACAAACATTCCGAGATGACTCAGTGTCTGTCATTATAGTCATGCAAATTCTGACTGGCTTCAGATCGCGTCTTCCCTGCCATCAAGGCCGCAAGCACTCTTCATCACTAAACAAATCCCATCTAGCTGAGCAGAGACTGATATCGGAGTGATCTCTCTGTGTGTGTGTGTGTGTGTGTGTGTGTGAGAGAGAGAGAGACCGCGCTGGTGGCCAGTTTCG